AAACATCTCCTATAGACCAGGGCCACCAGGGCAGCCTTCCCTGCAACAAGAGCTGTACCTGAATTGCAACAACACAATCCCACTGATTCAGAGGACAAGGCTCCGCCCAGCTGTGGCTCTGTCATTTGTTATTAATTCTTTCAGATTAAATTTCAACATGAGGCTATTTGTACCTTAGCTAGTTCCATGTAAATTGATAATTTTTCTAAAAGAGAAAGAGAAAGAAAAGAGAGGAGGAGAAAAACTGACCTTCACACAGGCCCACATTTACTGTGAGCCAAAATCCTGAAAAGCTACTCTCAAAGTCAAGTAAATTGTCAAAGTTCCCAGCGCCATTCCTTGGGTCCCTTTGCACATTTGTGCAGCATTTCACGGTTAGCAGAGGGTGTACCCCCTCTACATTATCTTTGGTGGTAAGAACTTGCCTGTGTCATCAGCTGTGCAGGAACATGGGAGAAATGTCTGCTTTCCCAACCACAGCTGCAACTTGCCCTACGGAGCAGCTCAAAATGCTCCTGGAGATGCGATTTAGATCCCCCACTCAAATTCATACCTGGGATTCCGAGAAAGAAAGAAATGTTACAAAACGTGATCACCATTTCCTTCTATATTTACCCTGCAACATCCACATGCGTGCCCATGAGTGCTGGGCCGCCACTCCCTGCTCAGACCTGGACTCATCCTCTCTCCCTAGCCCCATTCCCTGTGATGACTCTGGACACAGCCCTGAGGCCCTGGCCCCTCTCACTCTCATCCACCCCATGCCCCACACCCTCTCCTCCTCTCTGACTGTGCCCTTCCTGGCCCCTTGGTGCTCCTCCTTCAGGCTCTTGTCTCCCAGAACTCTCACATTTCCTTGGCTTTTTTGGTTTCTCTCAACTCCGTGCCTGTTCATCCCACCAGCTGCCATGATGCAAGGCCCAGCCTTCCCTCCCCATCTCCCCATGGATGCGCGTGGCCTGTACCCACAGCCTCACCTATGAGGCACCCACTGGAGCCACCTTCCAAACACACTACCAGGGAGGTTTGGCTTTTTCTGTTTGTTTTTAAATTTTTGTTTCCCATTGTTATTGCATTTTTTTATTATTATACTTTAAGATCTAGGGTACATGTGCACAACGTGCAGGTTTGTTACATAGGTATACATGTGCCATGTTGGTTTGCTGCACCCATCAACTCGTCATTTCCATTAGGTATTTCCCTTAATGCTATCCCTCCCCCAGCCCCCTGGCCCCCAACAGGCCCCAGTGTGTGATGTTCCCTGCCCTGTGTCCAGGTGTTCTCATTGTTCAACTCCCATCTATGAGTGAGAACATGCAGTGTTTAATTTTTGTTGGTTTTTAAAGGCAATGAAATAGCATTGCATTACATTTTTCCCCCAATACCAAACACAAGCATTTAATTAACCCCAAACACTAAACCCAAACATTCATCTTCAGCTTCCTCTTCTCTGTCTTTGCTCTTTCCCACAACCATTCCCCCTGACCACTCTTCTGCTTATAGGTGTCCTATATTTCTGCCCATAATATTAGAGATAAGGCTCAATTTGAAAACAGATGCAAAATACATAATGGGTCAAACACACTCATTGCTTTCCTTGTTTCTAGACAGATAGCAGCTCTCCACCCATGACTTGGGACCCAGGCTCCTTCACCTCTTGACTTCATTGTGCCCCACAGAAGGGGCAAAGGCATAAGGAGGGGACACATCCGCTATTTAGGACAATGGCCCAGGAAGACACACTCAAGTCCAGATGAGCCAAGACTCAATCACCATGGCCAACCCTCAATGCAAAGAGGATGGGAAATGTGGTCCAGCCCTGGTGAGAAACTGGATTTTAGGGAAGCAACAGATATCCCCCCAGACTTTCCAGAGCACTGATCACTACTCATTCATTAACCTTTCAAGACAGGTTCTTCCAGGGGTCAAGACAATTGCCTGGAGCTGGGGATTTGCAGTTTAGTCAGAAAAAGGGTAAAGCCTACAAATTGGGGATGGGGAGGGAGGCAGGAATAAATTTCCTTCATAACAGTTTTAAAGTATGAAGTATCACTGAAGACTTGAGAATCAGCTAATTTGACAAACCCTCTTCCACTTAAGGACTCAGAAAGACAAGAGCTTAGGGTGGCTTTGCACAGTTGGGCAGCCTCCCAGCAGCCAACGTGGGATATACACCAGGCCTGCTGGAGCCTTCACAGGGCTCTGCAGATGAGGTCTCCCCAGCCAGGCAGAGTTTGAGCCCAGACACCATTCAATATAAAGTCATATTTAGACTCAAAAAAATTAGCACAAAAAAATTAGCAGTGAGAGCTCGGAGTTGATCATTCAAGGACAAGAATACCCTGCCATGTAGGGGGTAGTGGCAGTGAGCAGGACCTGGCCTCTGCCTCCCTCCACACATTCCAACCCACCTCCAGTGAGAAGGACATGACCTCTGCCTCCATCCATACACCCACCCCATCTCCAGGGAGCAGGACGTGGCCTCTGCCTCCATCCACACACCCAACTCACCTTCAGCCCTCCCAACCTCAACAGCCTCCCATCACCATCTGTCCTGGTATCTATTCTAAGAAGGGGAAAAAAGCAAATTTTCTTACAAATGAAGGACTTTTCTTATTATCAATGAAGGATTATTGAGGGCAATCATCTGAAAGTCAAAGCTGTCAGACTGGAGAGTAGGCTCTGCAGAACAGATGCTGTCTCTTCCTGAGGCTGAAACATAAAAACAGATCCAGGGGACTGATTTTTAAGGCAACTGATCATCCATGAGCAAAGTTAACTCATAAGTTAGGTTGGTGGCACTCAAATCCCATCTCTGGCTATGTTCTCATTCAGATAAATGATGGTTTGTTGACAGATGACATTTCTCCTTTAACCAAGATAAAAACAATGTCCACAAAGGAAACACATGGCAGAGTCAAAGGACACAGAATTTAAGTCTGGAGGAAGAAATTTCTTACCGAACTTTCGGAACACTTTAGTATTACTAGCCAAATAAATAATTTCATAAGTGGATTATATGCTTTTAAACAGCAGAATCAGTTCCAAAATTCCCCTGCACTCAAGTTTTAGGAGAGCTTTCCTAATGCATTATTAACTAATGAGTGAACCAATGTGTTAATCATGAAAGCCATAAGAAAGAACGTAACCAGACATGGTGCCTCATGCTTGTAATTCCAGCGTTTTGGGAGGCCAAGGCATAAGGATGACTTGAGATCAGGAGTTCAAGACCAGCCTGAGCAATATAGTGAGACCCCCATCTCCATGAAAATAAAAATAATTGGCCAGGCATAGTGGCATAAGCCTGTGCCTCCTGTGCCCACTCAGGAGGCTGAGGTGGGAGGATCACTTGAACCCAGGAGATCGAGACTGCAGTGAGCTATGATGGTGCCACTACATTCCGGCCTGGGTGACAGAGTGAGACCCTATCTCTAAAATAGTAATTTTAAAACTTTTTGGCCGGGCGCGGTGGCTCAAGCCTGTAATCCCAGCACTTTGGGAGGCCGAGACGGGCGGATCACGAGGTCAGGAGATCGAGACCATCCTGGCTAACACGGTGAAACCCCGTCTCTACTAAAAATACAAAAAACTAGCCAGGCGAGGTGGCGGGCGCCTGTAGTCCCAGCTACTCGGGAGGCTGAGGCAGGAGAATGGCGTAAACCTGGGAGGCGGAGCTTGCAGTGAGCTGAGATCCGGCCACTGCACTCCAGTCTGGGCTACAGAGCAAGACTCCGTCTCAAAAAAAAAAAAAAAAAAAAAAAAAACCTTTTTTAAAAGAAAGAAAATAACCATAAGCTAAAATTACAGATGTTGAAGGTAGAGGAGGCAGAAACCAAATCAAATTTGTAAGCACAGAGAGAGAGAACATTTCCCCACCCTTTTTTTTTAACCTTGGCATTGAATCAACCATTAAAGTACAATGCATGCATACTTACCAACAAAAACCAGCAATGTTTTCTAAACCCTGAAATTTGACCAACAGTTCAAAGAGCTTGTTCAAGATGCTTGCCCTAAACATAAGGAAAGTGACAAGGGAAAAATTTATTATAAAAAGAATTTGATTGCAAGTCTGTTACATGCAGGCACAGAACACATACATGGTTTTGTTTAACCTTATAACACTGAGGTGGGTATCATGGTCATTTTGTAAATGAGGAAACTGACGCTTATGAATTTGGATAGTGTGTTGTAAGTCAGTTCAGGCTGCCATAATAGAATATCACAGACTGGGTGGTTTAAACAACGGACATTTATTTTCTCGTTGTTCTGGAGGCGGGAATCCAAGATCAAGGTGTTGGCAGGGTTAGTTTCTGGGAGTCCTCTCTCCTTGGCTTGCAGATGACCACCTTCTCCCTGTGTCTCATATGGCTTTTCCTCTGTTTGTGTGCACCGCTGGTATGTCTTCCCCTTCTCATAAGGACACCAGTCCTACTAGATTGGAGCCCAAACCTTATAGTCTCATTTAACCTTTAACTATCTCCTTAAAGGCCTTATCTCCAAATACAGTCACCTTAGGGGTTGGGGCTCAAGCCCTATATGGATTTGGTAGGGACACAATACAGTCCATAACAGATATCATGGCTAAGAGCCCACTAAGAGTTGCTAAGTAGTAGAGCTAAGACTGAATCTAAAGAGGACTCCTTCATTCTGAGCTTACTGTCTCTCCCATGCCATAGCATCTCAGACAGAGTTGGGAGGCATCCCTCTGTAAGAGCTGACTCAGTAGAACCTGCTGGCAGGGACACAATTTTGCAGCAATAAGCTCCATCCTGGTGGGCAGGATGGTGAAGTACTTACACAAACTAGATCGAAGAGCACAGAAGTCCAAGTCAACTAGAGGCCTATCCAGATGGTGTGGAATAAAAATGGCTTTGTCTACTTTGTTTATAGCTACACAAATGGTATTTGGTTTCACCAGCCCATACAAAGTGTGCCGTTCCATTGTCCTCAAAGAGCCAGCCTTTCATTCAGTGTTTCTTTTCTTTTCTCCAAACCACCAGCTAACGTCCTGGAGGGCGACTCCATGGATCAGGATGTCGAGAGCCCAGTGGCCATTCACCAGCCAAAGTTGCCTAAGCAGGCCAGGGATGACCTGCCAAGACACATCAGCCGAGACCGGACCAAAAGGAAAATCCAGAGATACGTGAGGAAAGATGGAAAATGCAACGTTCATCATGGCAACGTGAGGGAGACCTATCGCTACCTGACCGATATCTTTACCACCTTAGTCGACCTGAAGTGGAGATTCAACCTGTTGATTTTCGTCATGGTTTACACAGTGACCTGGCTCTTTTTTGGAATGATCTGGTGGTTGATCGCGTACATCCGGGGAGATATGGACCACATAGAGGACCCCTCCTGGACTCCTTGTGTTACCAACCTCAACGGGTTCGTCTCTGCTTTTTTATTCTCAATAGAGACAGAAACCACCATTGGTTATGGCTACCGGGTCATCACGGATAAATGCCCAGAGGGAATTATTCTCCTCTTAATCCAATCTGTGTTGGGGTCCATTGTCAATGCATTCATGGTGGGATGCATGTTTGTAAAAATCTCTCAACCCAAGAAGAGGGCAGAGACCCTGGTCTTTTCCACCCATGCAGTGATCTCCATGCGGGATGGGAAACTGTGCCTGATGTTCCGGGTAGGGGACCTTAGGAATTCCCACATTGTGGAGGCTTCCATCAGAGCCAAGTTGATCAAATCCAAACAGACCTCGGAGGGGGAGTTCATCCCGTTGAATCAGACGGATATCAACGTAGGGTATTACACGGGGGATGACCGTCTGTTTCTGGTGTCACCGCTGATCATTAGCCATGAAATTAATCAACAGAGTCCTTTCTGGGAGATCTCCAAAGCCCAGCTGCCCAAAGAGGAACTGGAAATTGTGGTCATCCTAGAAGGAATGGTGGAAGCCACAGGTAAGATGTGTTCTATCCTGGGATGGCTGTGGGATAGATGCTCATTTTAAACTGGACCTGATGTTCTTATCTATTACAAGATCTAGAATACTAAACCTCATGCAATATTGACAACATCCCCTTGCTTCATGACATAGTATGCCTACATGTCTCACCTGAAGTATATCCGCCAAGAAGCCTAACCATTTAGTTTTTAAAAGCTCTTTGGAAAATAAATTAATGAACAATGAAAAATCACCATGTAACATATTTTAAGTCTCCAAATATTTACCTAAGTTAAAATCTGATCTGTCTCTAAAGTACATTTTAAATGGCCTTAAAACATTGCTAATTTAAATACCTGAGGTTATTTATTACCAAGTTAGGAGGAAGAAGTTAAGTCTTTCAAAGGAAGCCTGACAAACTGCTTTAATAAAAATGCAATTTCACCCGTTCTTTGAGAGTCATTTATAAGGCCTATAGCACTGGTTTCTCTTTCGTATGAAGTGAGTGCCTAGTATCTCTCCACACTTGACCTGCCGAGCCCCCAGTAAGTATAAAGTTGCAGACAAGTAAATAGCTCTAGCAGAAAAGAAAAAAGTTGAAGATCCATTCATCTTAATCCCGCCGGCCCTCTTGTTAATGGCTTATCACTGGGATGTTTTAGGGAAGATGATCTGTTCAGGAAATAGAGAAAATGGTCTGTTTTTACTGACGTCTTCACTCATATCTGAAATTTGCACATTACACATCCCAACAGCAAAGCAGGTTCTGCCCATGTTTGTATGTAACATCCCCCAAAACAGAGCCATCAGCTATGACTCAAGATAATCATAGTGCCTCACAGGGAAAGTATAAACCAGAACCCTAATTCATTAAGGCCTTTATTGTTCTTTGAGGTAGTAATGGTGTCTTTGGGGTCCCTTTTCCTGATACCATCAGCCCTTTTGTGCTTTTAAGTCTTCAGCTTGAGATTCGGGTGGTTTATATTGTCTGAAATTGCATGACCAGCAGGCTGGCCCCAGGTTCTTCATCAACCTGTGACAAGTAACTTAATCCCGTGATCCCTTTTAGGGAAAAGTCACTGGTCCCATGTTTCTACCTCCCTGTACCCAACAGGCAAGGTCACAACCTCTAACAAATTTCTCTTACGGTGGTGGTGTGAAACTTTTGCTATAGGGTTTTTAAATGCAGCAAACAGTGAAAACGTGAGTAGAGGGCTTTGCATGGAGCTCAATGGTGGGAGCGGTCGCCTTTTCATGGAACAAAAGGCGCAGGAACCTAATGGGAAAGTAACTTTAAAGAATAACAAAAGTCACTGTTGTGAAATAAGACATAAGTGCTCCAGGTGTTAACAGGAGCTGTACTTTGAGCCTGATTTGGGGGTGCATTTGTGAGGCAATAGTTAGGTGGAGGGGAGGAGGAAGGGAGATAGAAGGGAGAAGTAGAAGGGAGGGCAGGGAAGGAGGAAGGGGAGAAAGGAGAGGAGGAAAAGGGGAGGAGGGAAGGAGATAGGAGGGAGGAGAATGGAAGGCAGGGCGGGGAGAAAGGGGAGGAGAGAGGCAGGTAGGGGAGGAGGGAGGGAAGAGAAAGGGAGGAGGGAGAGAGAGGAGGAGGGAAGGAGGGAGAGAGAGAGGAGGAGGAGGAGGGAAGGAGGGAGAGAGAGAGAGGGGAGGGAGAGGGAAGGAGAGAGAGAGAGAGAGAGAGAGAGAGAGAGAGAGGAGGAGGAAGGAGGAGGGAGAGAGAGAGAGGGGGAGGGAGGGAAGGAGGGAGAGAGAGAGAGGAGGAGGGAAGGAGGGAGAGAGAGAGAGAGAGGGAGGAGGGAAGGAGAGGGAGAGAGAGGAGGGAGGGGAAGGAGGGAGGAGAGAGAGAGAGAGAGAGGAGAGAGGGAGGAGGGAAGGAGGGAGAGAGAGAGAGAGAGGGAGAGGAGGGAGGGAGGAGGGAGGGAGAGAGAGAGGGAGAGAGGAAGAGGGGAGGCTACAGGGGAGGAGGGGAGGGAGGGGGAAGGGAGGGAGGGAGGGAGAGAGAGAGAGAGGAGGAGGAGGGAGAGAGAGGAAGAGGGGAGGCTGGGGAGGAGGGAGGGAAGAGAAAGGGAGGAGGGAGAGAGGAGGAGGGGAGCCTGGGGAGGAGGGAGGAGAAATAATTCAAACAGGGAGCTGTCACTTTCCTACAGACCAGAAACTTCCCCAACCTCAGCCGAGCACAGGGACTCTGGATCCCCCTAGCGGCCACAGAGCTACAGCCTCTGACACTATCTACTGACCACTCAGGATGCAGTTTTCCTTTTCGCTTTTCACCATAAATTCCCCCAAGAGGACATGAGAGAGGGCAGTGTCTCCAAGCTCAAGAAGCAAAAACCACTGGAGATGTATCCTCTGGTTACTGATGCTAATCTGAGCTTTAAATTGTGGGAGTTAAGCTTTGTGTTCCCTCAAACCAAAGCCCAATCTCTGTAAAATAAATGAATCTGGAATACGCAAATTATCTTTGTGATGTCCCTGAGTCGGAATTCTCCCTGGGGCAGGCCCTGTCTTTCTGATGACAGCTGGTAATAAGTGAGCCTTTCCAAAAGGAGGAACATGGTTTTCTTGGTAATTAACAGTGATACTTGCCTCTGAGCACCTTATGGCCTTTCCACAGCTTTCAAGAGAAATCTGAGTAATTACCAGCAAAACCAATCCAAATGTTCACCCCGCTCCCTGGAGAAAGGCAAATCCTACTCATTTTCTTTTAAAAAATAGTTTTCTACTTCCTAGACTTGGGGGGCTGGCGGTTCTAGAAAGTTCTAGAGGTGTCTGGAAACTGAATGTGTCTTGGTCTTTTCCTCAGAGGAATCGTACAACTCAGTACCCCTAGTACAGCTGATCTCTTACGTTTCAGCAGGATACTGTTTGTGAATGAAAAGCTCAATTAGGATTTATGGGCATTAAACAGGCCCTTAGGGGAGAAAAATGCTTCAATCTCTCAAAACCACAGGGAAAAAAAAAAAAAAAAAGTGGACCAAATGCACACTCGAGGAAAACAAATTCACAGGGATCTAATTATTCATCGTAGTGCTGGACTGGAAATCAGGAGCCATGATAATAGCAAGCTAACACAAAACAGCTTCCCCTGCGCTCATCACTTCTTTCAAAAATGTCGCAGTTGACCTTAACCTGCTGTGCTCAGTGGTCTCCACGAGCAGGCCTCTTCCAGGGAGCGGGGGAGGCCCACGTGGCCACCTTCACGCAGTGCCCTCTTCCCTGATAGGAAGCAGGCATCCTGGGCACAGGATGATCCTAACGTGGTGTTTTCCGGAGACCCGAGTTATCCCGCAGGAGGCCACCTGGGTCCTTCCGTCTGCTGGGAGCTCAGGCCCGGTGCAGGCGAGTGGTGCGCTCTGTGGATGCACTGCCTTCCAACACCAGCCGCATTGCAGGGTCAGGTTCCATTTTTAGAAAATGAAAGTGGGCTCCTTGAAGTCTGGAAGTGAGCCCCCCTTTCATGGCCTCAAAGGGACTGCACAAAAGATGGACCCACACCCACGCAGAACAGCCCCGCATCCCTTAGGAATGGCTTTGGCCCGGTCCTGCCTCAAGTCAGAGGGACATGCCAGGTGACCTTTAAGAACCTTCCAGTCATGTGGTTCTATTTTTGAAAATGAATCAAACCCTGGAAAATTCTGACACCAGCCACTCAGACATCCAGGAGTTGGCCGTGTCTCATCTGCAGATGTATTTTTAAAGGGGGCCGTTTATGTTCCTGACACATGGGCGATTTTGAGATAGTGGTGTTTACAGAAGGTTTCATAGCTACGTAAACAAACGTGCTCAGCAGCTGTGGCCCATGTGTGTTAAAATAGTAAAGCATTCATATAGACTGTTATTTATAGAGGGCAAATGGGCCTCGAGGCAAGATGACAGCCACGCTAGCGCTGGGCTTGCTGCCAGTCAGCCCCCACTACGGCCTTGCTGATTGACGAACTTCCACATTTACCCCCAGCGATTATGCAACTGCGGGAGGCAGCATTTGCCTACACCTCGGCAAACGTGCCTGCAAGGATGAGTCCCCGTTAAGCCTTTTGGTTATTTTACACTTCTTTTGATGGAACCTATCAGACTTACACAAAAACAGACCCAGTAGTATCACTCACCCCCCGTGTCCCCGTCCTTCTGCTCCAGTGAATATCAATTCAGGGTCAAACGTGCTTCCTCTGTATCCCTGCTCACTGGCTGCCCACCAGAATCACATCATTTCATCTGCAAATATTTCAGTATGTGGCCCTAAAAGACAAAGACACTTTTAAAAATGTAGCTCTCATACCATTATGACACCTAAAATAATGACCAATAAATTAAGATCCAACCTCTACCGAGTGTTCAGACTTCCAATTGTCTTGTAAATGCCACAAGTTTTTTTATTTACAATCAGCTTGTTCGAATCAGGATCCAAATAAGGTTAACACACGGTGATTGGTTGAGATATCTTGTAAGCCTCTTCATCTGTGAGTTCTCTTTTTTTTTTTTTTTTTTTTTTCCTGATAAGTTTTTCTTAAAGAAGATAACTTCTGAAAGATTTAAATACTGCATAGAATACTGGGGAAAGTGGAGGATGAAACACACCAGAGAGCACTTTATAGACAAGGAGGCAGGGCCGATTAATCGGAAGTCGCCATCTGGGAGTTACCAAGGAGGACAGCCAGAGTTCACTGGAAATAGGTGAAGGCAAGCCATCCTTCACCATAGAAAAGCACCAAGGAGGACAGCCAGGGTTCACTGGAAATAGGTGAAGGCAAGCCATCCTTCACCATAGAAAACTCAGTTCTGTCGCTAGTATAGTTATTCCCAGGCAGAGAATTTAGTCATATAAATCACATCACAGATCATAAAATTTTTGAGTTGGAGGGAATCTTTGCCCATTTTACAGATGAAGAAATGGAACCCCAACAAGACCCGTGACTTGGCTAAGGTCAAATAGCCACCAGCAGGGCAGGACCTTGAAAGCCACAACCATGGATGGTGTTGCCAGGACTCCATGTTCAG